AAAACAAATCACCCAGCTCATAAACTGTCCTATGTCTGTGAGAAGTAATAACCCAGAGATTAATAAAGAAACAAGCCATATTCTTTGGTTTTCTCCAATTTCTCACGAGCATTTTCTCTCCCTGAACTGAGTGTTAGCTAACCCATCTGCTCTCTGTATTCTGCTTGGAGTTTGTACCATTTTAATATTTAAATCAAATCAGGGGAACACACAAGCTGCTGTTCAAGCTCAGTAACAAGTGAGATGGTGTTAAAGGCAAGAGGGATGGTTTATTTTATGCATAAAACTACCAACCTCCAGCTCTCTTTAGTAACATATGAGCCCAAACCTCAAAAGCTTGAATGCAAGTGTCAATAAAGGAACATCGGTCTTCTTGATAAAGAAAGCATGTCCTGCAAGCTGCCTGGACTTTGTCAAACAAAATCATAGTAGGTACAGGAGGTGAGCTTCACCAGGCTTCGATTCCACAGCAGTGATGCCTACTTTTAATAAGAGCGTTTGCTAATCTGGCTGTGGGAAACCCTTGCAGCCCTTGTGTTTTTCCAACAACATGTCTGCACTCCAGTCATCCAGCCTGCCTGCTAGCCAGCCAGCCAGCCCCACACTCCATCTACCTCCACTCAATCCTGATTCAACGGCAGCGAAAAGCTGATTAGTTGGTCAGAGGGTCAACCTCCATTCATTATTTAATGGATGAGAGGCTGCACACAGTCAGGCCGGCTGCCGAGGTTAGTGATACATTACACCGACCTGTCCAGAGGAGAGCTGCCCAGTCGAATACAAACATGCTCTCTCATCTACTTCACTATGGCTGAGATGACCTCAATCCCCTCTGCCCCTGACCTTGCCGTTCCTTTTCAAATCACCATCCTTCCTCCCTTCTCTGGCATTCGGAATCCAGCAGGTGGGACTGTGTTTCATTTCCCCGTAAGCTTGCACTGCAGGAGCAGGCCCGTAGCTATGGCTGGCCCAGGTAACCAAGAGGAGGAGGAGGAGGCCATTGCTATTTTATTGACATGCAGCAAACAGCAGTGGTGGAACAAAGGCCACTCAGCACCTATTGAGAGAGCAGGCCTGCAGACACGGTGGTTGATTAGCGATTCGACACGGGGACCCTGGACTGTGTAGCACATAATGAGAGCTTAGGGAGCAAGCCATGAGCCGATGGGGGAGGGAGGTACGACGGAGGCGGGCTTGGGATAGGAGAGGGGAGAGGCGGGCTTCAACCATAAGGAATTGATTTCCTACAATAGGAGATTGATATACGAGTAAAAGGGCTCCAAAGAAAAAAAAAAAACAAGGGTATGGGCAGATCCTAAATCCTTAAGCTACAGCATCGGTAATGTGTTTATATATAAACAGTTATAGGATAAGCCCTAAATCCACTGCCAAGCTAAATGGTTTATGCATCTTTTTTGTTTGTTTACTTCTGTGTCAATTAGGCAAATTGGTCCAACATCCCTGACGAGCAAGAGATCTAAAGTGAGTGGATTTTGCATTCATGTCCAAAAGCTTCTATCTCCCTGAACACCACACTAACCTCGTCTTCACCTTTCATGTGGCCTCAGAGAGATGTTAACACAGTCAGATGTGCATGATGGCAGTTGTGTGTGTGTGCTCCCCCCCCCCTTCTTCGTCTGCACGCTCTCTCCTTCCTTTGTTCCACTGGTCTAATCCAGTATGTGTGGGCCGGTAAGTTTAATGGAAACAATTTATTAAGTCCGGCTTAAAATGCCATCTGCAGCTAAGCCTCCCAAAGCCGCTAAGCTCCTGGTTTCGCCCCGGAGCTTGCTGTGTTCACGCTTACTGTAATGCTCTGTTTAAAATGAGCACAACGGGTCAAAATTAATCAGGATTACAAGGGCACAAATCCACTTCAGAAATGGGTTTTCTACCAATCTTGCTCCTGCTATCCCAAGATGCCCCAGGTTTGTCTGATGGACCGCACACCACACAGGTTTACCCATGCACCATAGCAGGTAGCACCTAGCCAGGACAGCAGGACCTCAAAGAGTACAAGGCGGCAGGATACCCACAGATACAACATTCAACATGGTCACTGAAGATTCCAAAGTGTTCTTCTCAGATATTTCTAGCTGCTGACAGCTAGGCGATAACTCCCCACCACTTCCATAGGCACAGCATTGTGAGATGTTATAAGAAGGCCTATCAGTGAAGTGTTTATCTGTGCTCTGTGGAGGTGCCCTGTACATGCTCAGCAGCTACATTTAGCTTCTCATTCGCCTTCAAGCAAGGGACAACAGTAAACTCTGAGCTGCAATTCAATAAGAGTATAGCCCTGAGTGGAGCACAAGTTTTCATTGCGCTTTTACTTAAACATACCATCCTCCAGGAAATCAATAATTTGCAGGAGGTTTAAGACTGGAAATAAACAAACAACACCTGTTAGATAATGCTTGCCCTTTGCTGTACCTTCCTACCTATAAATCACCAACACAGACAGACATTCAGCAGAACGTGTCCTAGCTCTGCACAGTGTGTGCTGTGTTATTACAGATACCATGAGCTTGTTTTATCTGTACTGACGTAGAGATGACGAAATGCAAATATGAGAGAAAGAAGGCAACGGTGTCTGGGTTTTGCCCAAAAGCATGTTCTGTGTGCATAATTACAGCGCTCTGCCGACGCTGATTACTATGTTGGTCTTTCCTCTCCTCTATTAACCCTGAACCGTTTCATTAACATGACAGACTGTGGGCCTGTGTGCAATTTGGACTTAACCTCAACTGCTTGTACCCGTAACTGCTCACAAAAATAAAAGTTCAGAGAGGAGCACAATGTTGAAAGGCAAGGAAGAGTTAAATGAAATAACACTCATTACCTAGAGAAATGTACAAGCCAAACATCATCACAGCATTATATATTTATGTGTGCCATGATTTGTGTGTGTGAGTGTGCATCTGTGAGTGTCTCCAAGCCAACAGCTCGACAGGCCTGGTGATCAGAGGAAAGCTGGCTTTTCATTGGTCCCACAGGACCGTGAGCGAGACCGGTAATGGGACACATACGCCGCATTCTAAACCAGAGGAAAACAGGCTGTGGGCTGCTTTGTAGTACACAAACACACACACACACACACACACACACTACACACACACACAGACAGAAAAAACAGTTTAGGCCAAAAACAAACACTGTCCTAGAATCCATTACAGCTCAAAACAACATTGGAATGGAAGAAAAGAGCCGGCTGGGGGCAGCTTTGCCATTGTAGTGTGATAACATCGTCACCAAATCACTTCATCAAACTGTTTATTTCTTTTCTGCCTCACCCTTTCTAACCCCTAATTCTAATCTAGTGCCCTCCTTCCACATTACCCAAAAATGATCTGGTTGATCTGTGTGACAATCAGGAGAGACTCCTGAGAGACTGATTGGATTGTCTGGGTGTAATTCCAGAGTCCTAATCCTCAGCCTCGTGTGCACATTAGCACGATCCACAGAGCCCTCCGTTTGCCAGCTGACATGGATGGGGTATTTGAGCGTGTGTAAAAGACAATGGCTGTGTATGTGACTGTACTAGCGGTTCTTCACAGCAGAGTTTACATGCAGCCATGTTCTGTACAGGCATGCAGGAAAAATAAGTCAACATCCTGACAGCTGACAGCAGCAGTAGTCCAACAGCCTGGTGGAGAATAGATGGTTTTGGACACGGCCTAGTTGTTTTCTAAACCATGCAAGTCTGGAAGTTATTGTCATTGTGAACGCTGGGTTTCACGAGGCCGACGCTGGTCACAGGTCATCTACATCACACTGCCGACAGGCCTGGTTTCTCTCCTCCTTGTCAGCCGTGCTTTTCCACTTAGCAGTCTAAACTATTGTGCTAAACCCAGCAACACCTTCATATGTTGTTTAGAGGGAACGTAGCTTTCTCCGTGGATGTTCTGATGTAGAGGTAAATAAAATGGAGGTAAACACAGACTTCTAATTTGTTGTTACCAAAAGACAGGAGGTAGATTTATGCTCTTCTTTTTGCAGGTAACAATTACCTTTTTTCCTGTGCTAATAATATATAATCTATCCATAATTCGCTGAAAAATTGTCAACATTTTTGACAAATATTAGTAGCAGTAAGCAAGAGTAAAATATGTCTCCGTGACATCCCAGTTTACATTAACTATGTGTGTATTATGATGAAATTTGAGGCAAGCTGATCTATTTGTCGAGTCTGTCCAGCAGAAATCCCCCCTCCCTCCCAAACCCTCCTCATATAGCCTCAGTTTACACTGTTCTGCACTTCCACCTCCTTCACCCTCTGCCTGTGTTAATGGCCCTGCTTCCTGGTTCCTGCCCTGGGGGGACGTGGTCTGCATGCTGCTATCTGTCACTACATGGCTGATCGCGTCTCCCTGCATCCACAACTTGACAGCTCTGACCTGGCTAGCATCATTGCGTTTAGAGAATATACAGGTGCAGACATTCTATGGCCACATGGTATACACCAACACATGTATGTGGTTGGACGCACATGGATACACGAACGCACAAAATCATGTCAGAGCATGCATGAACATAGAAATGCTGAATCTTTATAATCCATATATGTGCATATGTTAACGCACAACAGAGTTTGTGTTGTCTGGGGCACTGACAAAGCTCTCTCTCTCTCTTTCCTTTGGCATCTATTATGGTCCAGGCCTGCTGTCAGAGAGCTTGTATTGCCTGAGGGAAGTTCCCATTTGTGGGAGCATGTGGCAGGGAGGCTCTAAATCCCCTCTAATGAACCAATATGTAGGAGGGCTAAGCCTTTGACGGGGTTGTCCAGCAAACGCCACTCTGCGCTCAGGCAAAAATGTATGCATATGTAGTCACCAGACCTTGTTTATGTCTGCTGACATTTAAATTTGAATGGGAGCTGCAGGATTAGAGTGGAGGAGATTTGGACCCATTCGCCAAAAACCCATTTGTTGTTATGAGTATGAATGAGGCAGAACAGGGTAGACCGAAAGGAGGATAGAGAAAATAGAGCTGGCTCTTACCTTTGGGTGTGGTGGGGGAAAAGAGCTTCTCCGATCCTACATCAGACACCTGGAAAAACAAGAAGGGAGACTTTGAGTGGATTTGTCTGATGAGCTGAATCTGTGGGAAAATGTTGTCAATCCCATTTAAAAAAAAACCCTGACTCATATAATTATCCTCATTATTCATCAAAGGCAACGCAAGCACTGACATGCATTTTGTCTGTCTGGTAAAAGGCTAATTCAGCCACAAATGTGGCCACTAGTGCCTGGAGGAAAAGTCCAGCTGCCACTACTGCATTACACAGTCAATCCAAATACTCCAATCAGCCAACGAGAAGAGCTCCCTCTCCACCTGATGGTCCCTGTCTCGCTTTTTTCCCTGTCAAGGCAACATTAGGTGGCACTGTTGTGCCACCTGAAAATCCTCAAAAGAAATTCTGTCAAGGACGGAAGAAGTCAGTAAACTGGCTATGCAGCATCAGAGCACAAAGGCTCCTGCATACACGCTGCCGCTCAGAAATCACATTTTGTTCTGCGATACCTTTGAATGAAATAACCAACCTCATGAATACAATGTAACTATACTCTAAACGCAAAATCCTTAATTCACAAATGTAGTATTAAAGACAATATTGGCCCATACTGGAAGTAAACAGATGATAGGTAAACAACATGATCCTTTGTTGGGTCAAAAACAGTTGTTACTCTTTTGGGTGACGTGACCGACGCTGAGCACTGGAAACCTGGTGTTAAAAATGTTGGTTGAGTCAACTTGAGGGAGAAAAGCGTGTCACTATGAAGTGATCGTGGAGCCTTCTAGACTCAACACTGCAAGGTATCTCTCTGCTTTAGATGGATATGTAGAATCTGGCAAGCACCACCTAAATCAAAACACATCATACATTTTACACATGTTCACTGGCCAGATGGGAAATGTTTAAACACTATGACCAAAAAGCAGTAAATCCACACAAAACCTGGTATTGTGCAAAATACCGTAGCGAAAAATCTACGTGCTTGGAAGATAATATTAACAAAGAAAACCCGCTTCAGCCTGTAATATCAGCCCAGAGAGAGGTTTTGTTTAAAGCCAAGATTTCCCTTTGCGTTGCTTGCCTCTCATCTGGGTTCTGCACACTTAGAATATGCTGCAAGAGCTGAACATATGTTCTGCCCAAAGGGCCCGAGTGTCCTTAACTGCCATGCTTGTGTTTTATGCGGCACAAAAGGAGCATATGTAAAGAATGAACAGTGAATCAGAGTGAGTGCAAGAGCGACAGAGACAAAAAGAGAAAGCAAATCATCTTGTAAACACAGATGGCTGTCCTTGGCATCCGTTTTATTTCTTCACAAGTGTTTTGAGGACGTCCTCTTCTTTCCAAGACCTCCCAATTTCTTCTTCACTGCCACTGTGTTACTGTTCTCCACCGTGTTTGTCTGTCTGATTCTCTCAACGATTCGCGGGATTCACCAAGCAGACATATAAAATACAGATAAAAGCAATAATGGAAGACAACAAAGCAGGCTGCAACAGTTGCAACTTCAAAAAACATGACAAATGCCCTAAAATGATCTGTTGATAACTATGGACATATTGGCCACAACACATGAGGTAAATACATCATGGTGACAAATAAAATTACCACGTCTGTAAATCTTCTGATAATATATTTGTTCTCAGAGTCAGATCATTTAAATTTGAATCATGCAAACATTACGTTTGACATTAATAGACTCTTTAAAAGTGCCGTATTTAGCAATGAACCTCACCCTTTACTAAAGCGGTTGCTCCCATGTTAGTTATGAGATGAATAAACTACAGTATATATTGTAAGTTTTGTCAACCACTTTGTTTAAGGAAGTTCAATTGCTTGATGCAAATGTCAGAAGAGGTCAATAACACCTCTTTAGTAAGTGTAACACTTAATGGAGGGCAAATACTCAGCTGACAGGAGATGTTTCCTGTTTCCTCTTACAGTAGACGAGGCGGAAGACTACAGAGGAAAGAAAGAGTGTTGTTGCATTGCCCTCTTTCAGTCTCCCAGAACCAGGCGCCAGGCTACAACACAGGCTCTTTGTTAGCTTTGGACGACATTAAACGCTCCAGTACCAAGCCTCAGCAGCGCAGCAGCACAACCTCAGCCTTGAATCATGGCCCCGGAGGCCCTGGAAGAAAAATAGGGGCTCAGAATGAAATGAAGCTTGTCAAATGGACACGGGAGCTGGCTCAGGGACTTGCTTAGTGTGGCACAGGGTCACAAAAGCAAAAAAGACAGGCTAGGTCATGCCATGACTCAGTACAACAGTTAAAACAATTGTTATGACCCGAGTGGTTATCCAGAGAGCAATGCAGACATAACGTTCCTGACAAAGAGAACAGAAAATGCTGTGTTTACCAAGTGCCAAGACGACCTACTTCTCCTTATTCCTATTCTGGCTATTTTGAGTGTGCAGTGAGCCGTTTTATTTTCCAAAGATATTCCAAGTAACATCAACAACCAATATTTAGGTTTTAAAGCTGTGTTTTGCACCTGCCAAGTCTGCGTGAGTCAGTCGTATAATCCACAATTGCAAGGCCGGCTTACAAAAGCACTTCTTAAAAAGGCATGTCAAAGCAGAGCCCTGATTTGCCTAGCTGTTGTTTTTGTAGAACTTTCTGGGTTTCGCTGGTCAAGTTGACATTTTTTCACGGGGCTGTGCTGCTGGCAGTCTGAGCTGCCTGCGGTTGCGGTGTGCAGAGGTTGTGTATAACAAATTCTTCACACTCTCTTTGTTGAGGCAACCCCGACTGCCATAAAAAACAGACGGGGAAAGACGAGACAGAGGAAAAATATATAAAAAGAAAAAGAGACAGACAAAGAAAAAAGAGAGGAGCAAAGGCCAGGTTTTCCAAAGGAAACAGGGAAATTTAAACATAAAAAAATAATGGGGTAAATTCAAGCCACATTGCCTGGGAGCCAAAAGCCCTTGGAGCGGGCCGCAGGAAGCCTGACCTTTGAGGGGGCCGTCTGCTATCTGAGCCTGGGGCTTCAGGGGCCTGGCCTCCTCTCTGGAGGGCCGTCAGCAAGCCTCAGCTTTCCTTCCCTATTCTATTCATTAGCCATGCTTTATGATTCAACTTCCTCTGAGCCACACAAGAGCTCCCTTAGGAAAGAGACTGCTGGAGAGAGGGAGAAAAAAGGGAGTGAGACAGAGGGAGGGGGAAAAAAGCAAGGAGGAGGTCATAGGGCCCAGCCGGGGCCCAGCTCTCAGCAGCTGTGAAATCCTTCCGTTTCCTCGGCAGGCGTAAAAAGAATGAGGGGGAGAAAGAAAAAGGAGGAGGCCAGCGAGGGAGCTGGGCCAGTAAACCCACCATCAGTGGGGGAGTGCTAACTCCCTAAAGAGCCACATGCAGAACCATAATTCTCAGATTTAGCAAATGCCAAATTACAAATTACACCGCTGTTTGTTTTAAAAAGTCCCCAACTTCCCTGAACACCAATGACTTATTGGCTGCATAAATCTCTTGGTAATAGCAGAGCCGCAGAGGGAGAGCAGAGAGGCAGAAACCTTCGCCAGCAATAAGTGAGACATTTACTGCTCAGCGAAATGCATTTGCTGTCACAGCAAAAAAGTGGGGGGGGGGGAGAGGAGATGAACATTTTCCATGTACACATTGCTTTTACTTAACAACACAGCAAGCTAATTAATTCGGAAAATCTCCGACAAGCTTAATTGCACTTTTTTTTTTGTGGTAAAATGCTTCCGTGCTTAATATAAGCACAATGGGGCGACAGAGAGGCGATGCAGGCAGCAAGGGAGGGCGTTATAATCAACAGAATAACCTTCAGGCATAAATTTATGAAAGACATTGATCAGTTAAGGCTGTGATTTCACAGAGACAGGAAGGTCAGCAATTACCCAGATTCAATTAACCTCATTTAGTAAAGACTGCTGAGAGACCAATTTCTCTCCCCAGAACCCCCCCCCCCACCCACCGAACCCCCTGCTTTATATCAAACGATCCCCAGGCCGTCCATCTACCTTTGATCTGAGAGCTCCCATTGCATGCCTTGCATTCCGTGGAGCTGAGCAAATTATTTCCAAACAGGAAGAAATCTTGGAGCCAGAGGTTAGGTATACCCAGACTAAATAAAAACCAAATTCCTAAAACGTCCCCCCCCCCCCCCCCC